CTGGGGAATTCTGGGAGTTGAAGTCCACACATCTTAAACTTGCCAAGGTTGAGAAACACTGTCCTGAGCATATAAAAATAACATTAAAAAATTAATGGACCTTGGTTCAGTGGATTTTGGATACAACCGACAACAAGACATCACCCCAAAATAGCAGGATCTGCCGTAATCCAGACAATTCACGGACATTATGTCCGTCGTGCAAGTGGGTCATCTGTATCACCAGCCTCCGTTTTACGTCATTTGTGTAACGGACGCAAGTGACGCACGGGAGGCAAGTTCAGATTTAGGGAGCCTCCCTTCTCCTCCAAATGGCCCATCCAATTTTGCTGTAATGATTTCATGATTCGGTCAGGGAGCGCGTCGGCCACTTTCGGGCACCCTGGGCCGGGGATCACTGGCGGTGTGGTGGAACGTCCCTGAAGGGCCCCAGGTTGGGGGAAGGCTGGAGGCTTACACTGCAGATGGGGGCATTTGTGGCACTTGGTCTGGCCCCAGGAGGTGCCAATGCTGCCACAGCAGTCCTCTTGCTTTGTGAGACCCGGGAGGGGGTTGCTGCCGCACTGAAGTCCGGGTGGGAAGGGAAAAAGAGAAGAAAAAAAGAGCAAATTCACCGATTCCCTCCTGCGAAGACCCAGCCCCGCCCCAGCCGAGTCCCGCCCCGATCTCGCTTCTCCCGGCGTGTGACAGAAACCAAGAGAATCATCTCCTGTGCTTTAAGCATCTAGTCCTCAGTGAGGAGAACCTGTTTGGCGTTTGCAACACAGGCCAGACTGGGCTAAAACAGGGTTGGGGAGTTTGTGGGTTAGTATGTGAGAAGAACCCAGGCCTTTTTCTTACTCGTTTTGGGCAAACCTAGCCATCCTCTTAAGCGACTGCGTGGTTTAGTTCCTCAGACATCACAAGTAGGTATGAGGGCGTATGTACAGCACTTGGGTTTAGTGTGTTGCTTCGTACATGTGAAGCTTAATGCTGAGTTGGAATAAAAGTAAATCTAATCCTGTGATCCAGCTAGAACAGTGTTTTTCAACCTTGGCAACTTTAAGATGGGTGGACTTCAACTCCCAGAATCCCCCAGCCAGCCATG